TCTTATCTTGGGCACTGGGGTGTGGACCCAGCAGAGTGATGAGGTACATTTGCTGTTTCAGAAATAAAAGCAAAAAGATTTGAGGGCCAAGTGAATGCAAGTCCCACAAATCTAGAGGAATGTTCCAGCATGGGGTCTTGAATGGAAACTCATCTAACGTTGGCTCAAAGGATCTGGTTCCAACATGGCCATTGCCACAAATTTCATCACTGTGAAACTTACTAACCTTCATATGTTGATCTATATTATATACTAAACAAAACTGTGTTTCTTATTTTGTGCTTTGTTTCCAGAATATAATTGGTTTCAGTTTGTGAATTAGTGTAATTTCAACTAAAGTAGTATGAAAAACCTGCACAGCCTCAGTGTAAATACTGTGTGGAAATATAATATACTTTATGGAAATAATGCAAGGATTCCCGTTAACAATTTAATGGACCCTTTGTTTGGAAACCTGTGCTACAGAAATCGTGTGTGTTCATAACTGTCTTTGATTTATAAATAGATTTATAAATTTTTGTTCTATTTATAAATAGATTTATAAATAGATTTTGGCCCTGTATGACTTTGGTGTGATAATTAAATGCAGTAGAAAGTTATGACTCATGTCATTGTTAAGTAAACTAAAAACTACAAATAGAGACATTAAATTTCAATTAGTTGTCCCCCATCAGGCTCAAAGATTTGGAATATATACCTTTTCTCCCCTTCCATCCATCCTGTGCAAGTATATACCCTTTTGTTAAATCGTAAATGATTCCAGCAGGAAAACTTCAGTTTCACATTGTAATAAGTGCACTCAGTGAATGATTTCCTATAAACATCAGAGAATAGACATTTGCATTTATGTGGCTGATTTTCATTTTTATACCTCTGCTCTATTCTTATCATAGATTCCTTTCCAGGCTCCTTTATGTGACCTAAAGTGAATTCTATCTATTCTTGTTGAAGAATTTTTGTGTAAACATTCCATTTTGCTTTTGCTCTATTTAATTTTTAAGATAGAGGTATTATGATTTAATAATGGCTAATGATTTGTCAATTCCCATGCTACTCTGTATCTGTTTCTCTATCCATCCATCCATCCATCCACCCACCCATCTATATCTATCTATCTATCCATCCCTATAACTATCTATCTATCTATCTATCTATCTATCTATCTATCATCTATCTAATCTATCCCATACTTATATACACGTATGTTCTCACACAATGACGTATTTATACATATATATTCTATATACATATACATTATACAAATATGTATATACATATATGACCTACATATACATATGTGTATAGGTACTATTAATAATAATTTATAGTCTCCACTGTATTTCAGAAATTCTTTTAGAAATACAGTTGAGACTCCAGTTCCAATCACCAGTGAATACACACAATAAAATTATACACTCAAATATTCTGTATTCTCTTGGTAATTATCTTTTAGTTAATGGTCACCCAAGAAAAGGTCTCCTGTACTTATGTAATGAATTATGTCCTAAAAGAAAATTAACTGTAGCTTTAAAGTTCTATTCCAGAAGAACAAAAGGGCCGTCGCATCTGACACCATCGGGCTTCGTTACAACCACTGACTTGCCTGTGTGAAAAGCCACGTGACCTGGAATCATTCTCCTAAGCCCTATGGTGCAATTCAGAAGAGCAAGACACCTTTAGATTGTGATGTCCTACCACAAAAGCCTGAATCTGTGTATCCTAGCCGCAGTATGAAGACCGACTTCAGTGCTCATTGTTACACAATGTCCATTTCACTCAACGAGCAAGGCGGGAAATGTGATTTCTGGCTTGCGGGCATTTCTCATGGGCCATATTAAAAAATTTTTTTTAATGTTTAATCATTTTTGAGAGAGAGAGAGAGAGAGACAGAGCATGAGCGGGGGAGGGGCAGAGAGACAGTGAGACATAGAATACAAAGCAGGCTCCAGACTCTGAGCTGTCAGCACAGAGCCCGACGCAGGGCTCAAACCCCTGTGAGATCACAACTTGAGCAGAAGTCCTACGCTTAACCGACTGAGCCACCCAGGCACCCCTCTCATGGACCATATTTTAAAATAACCACTGGACACCTGAGCTTATCTCTTGTGAGTATGTATATTGTTTGGTTCCTTCCAGCGCTTTGAATGAAACTTGGTCCCGATCTTGTCACAGTAGGTCTGAGTTCAAGTATGTGCTTTCTGTCTCTCTCTCATTGTTCTGTTGTTGGCGGGGGGTTGGGGCGGGGGGAGGGGGGCTGGGGAGCTGACTGATTTACAACCTTCATTTCAGAGACAGTAAATCTCAAAAGCCAAATGTTTCATCAGCTGAAATGCTTAACGGATTTGGAGCCAAGAGTGCTTATCAGTGAAAGAAGCCATTTGTTTAAAATCTCTGGTTTTAGCCAGCCAAGGGGCTGCTTCTATTAATTCATCTACAGCGTATGTGGAAAGAGATGTGCTTCTCGAGGGGACAGACTTCTAAGGATGCCTCTACCAGCACTCGGCTTTGGTGATGTGCATGGCCGTTTCCAAACAGATTATCTACTCCCACGTTCATAGAACTGCATGATAGGAAACTGATACACATCTTGTTTCTGCATTATATCAAGCACTCTATTTCCACACTCAGAATAGGAAAGAAATATATTCTTGCAGGGTAAAATAAAATTGCTTGCCTTCATTCTGCACCTGCAATAAAAACTCTGCCTTGTTGATTGTTTAAATTAAAAGAGACGGTGGAAAAAAATCCCTGGATGATGCAGTGAATGAAGATTCCATGGCAGCAACTATGGAAACACCAACTTCAAAAAAACCCACGTTCATTTGCTAAACTTCAGGCATGCACGGAGAACTGTTTCCCTCAGGACTTTTGGAAGGAATTCAGAATCGCAAAGATCAAACCTTTCAATAGGAGGCTGTTAGAAAAGCTAAGATTTGCCAGGGTATAGAATATTAATTAGCCTGCCATTGGAGAGGTTACAACAGTCATGTTTTGCTGGGGAGGGGCTTCAGTTCCATAAAGGCTAGCGATTCACCGTATGTTGCAAATCCTCACTGGTGCCCCGCGGAAACAAAATAAGCAAATAGGTCATCCTGGGAGAGCTCACAGAGGGGGAGAGGGAGTGGAGGAAGGATGTGTTGAAGACAGAGGGGTTCTGCCAGAAAATTACTGGAGCCTTTAGGAATGAATCACCGCTTTCCTTAATGGGGAAAGAGAGGCTTGTCTTATGGTTATTAAACGGCACCCAAACTACCATTATGAGCCCGTTTCATACATAAAGCTGCATGAAAGGGCCTTTGCTCCCAAGCAGGGCGCGATGCATTTTATGAGAAACCGTGCAAAAGGTTGCACGATGAATGCCAGAGCCAGGGAACACTCGTTGGCATGAAACGCTAATTAGTAATTGCTAATTAAATAAGGGAGGGGTTGGTAACGTCGGAACGTTCCCCCTAATGACAAGCTCATCTCAGCTCCACCCCTGAGAATGCTGGAGAGGCCTGAATCTTCGAGATGCCCTGGCCATGCATCTGTGCAGAGACAGGAGATCGTGAGTGCACTTAGTGCGTTTTCAGAACCAGGTTTTGCTCCGTGTGACTTCAGGGCCTCAGTCAGTCCGTCTTCACCCAAACACCGCAGGAGGTGGCTGTAGGAACGTAATAAGCACTTACTGAAATGGCTGGGAAAGAGGAGGTGGCATGGGAGGGGGTGTTGGGGGGCAAGGGCACATGAGAAAGTAAAATGACTAAGAAGCAAACAAAACAGCTTTTTAGCATTTGGTGTGGTTTTGTCAGAAGGCCCAGGCAAGACAGAAGCGGATACAAGGGTAGACCGGCATGTCTGCGGTACGTCAACCTTGGCAGAAGCTAAAACAAGCAGCGGTAGTTTCGAACTTGAGAAGGAGAGGACCTGTCTGTCCGGAAAACGACTTCAGACATCAGAGGGAAGACTTGTTTCGAGGTCACGATCGTTTCTGCCACGAGAGAGAGACAGACGAGTCTGGGATCCACCTGCCCACGTTGCCACAGGAAACGCTTTGGGTTGCCTTCTTGGCAGCCTCTAAGGGCGAATTAGGAATGTGATGCCTTTGGTGAAATTGGTTCCTCAGTTTATAGAGAGGGGTGGGCGCCAAGTAAGAGTGGAGTCCCAGGATCTGTCATTTAGTTTGAAACTTAAGCATTAAAGAGAATGAAAATATCAATAAGGAATTCAGTGGGGAAAAGCTGACAACCTGTAATGCTTTTCTGTACACACACACACACTTACACACAGACACTGACACACAGATGCCCCAGCCCAACACACACACTTATTTTTCCCTGAAAAACTTCTTTTAGGATATCCCTGAAAAATTTTTTCAAGGAGGACTTTCATTTTACAACCAACGTGTGTAGACAAATGATAACTTGAACCTAGTAAAATTTATGGTCTCTGGTATTATCATATATTATAAATATTTGAGATTGATTGTGCCTGATATGTTAGCCCTGTACAGACTCATAGAGGAGGCATTTTATCATCAGAAACAGAACCAACAGAAACAGAAGCAATAACCATCATCACGATTATTTACATAATATAATCCTTCCTACCATGAAAAATGCTTTCCGCTGGTGCTTCTCATTTATAGGAAGACAACCAAAGAATGAACAGGGTAAACCATGAGATATATTTTCTTTATTTTTTAAGTGTTTATTTATTTATTTTGAGAGACAGTATGTGTGCGAGCCAGGAGGGACAAGGGCAGAGAGAGAGAGAGAGAGAGAGAGAGAGACAGTGAGAGAGAGAATCCCAAGCAGGCTCCACACCATCAGCACACGGAGCCTGACATGTGGACCTTGAACCCACAAACCGAGAGATCATGTCCTAAGCCAAAACCAAGAGTCAGACGCTGAACCGACCGAGCCACCCAGGCACCCCCATGAGATTTATTTCCAAATACCGGAGAGGTTTATGTGCTTTGTTATCATCAACAACCCAAAATATCTTGTGTTCTCTTGTAGGGTTTTTAAGTACCGGTGACCAGGCGGCCAAAGGCAACTATGGGCTCCTGGACCAGATCCAGGCACTTCGGTGGATTGAGGAGAATGTCGGGGCCTTCGGCGGGGATCCCAAGCGAGTGACCATCTTCGGCTCAGGCGCGGGGGCGTCTTGCGTCAGTCTGTTGACCTTGTCGCACTATTCAGAAGGTAACAAGGGCATCCCCGTGTTGGTGCACGACTCCCAGGGCTGACTGGTGAACACATGTGGAGTTCATATCCAAGCTGCCTGCTGGTGGTGTCACCATAAGTCTCTCTCGAATCCTCTGCAGAAAGTCCCCAGATGACATGAGCTCACATTGCTTTCTTTAAAAGAATTTTTTTAAGTTTTTTTTTTTATTTAGAGAGAGAGAGAGCATGCAAAGGCGTGAGTGATGGAGGGGCAGAGAGAAAAGAAGAGAGAGGATCCCAAGGAGGCTCCGCGTTGTCAGCGTAGAGCTCATTGTGGGACTTGAACCCAAGAACCATGAGATCATGACCTGAGCCGAAACCAAGAGTTGGATGCTTAACTGACTGAGCCTCCCAGGAGCCCCTCACATTGTTTTCTTTTAGCTCAGCTTTGTTTGTATTTTAACCATTTAAATGACAACAATTCAGTGCTGGTTACAACAATTGGAACATAATGACTCTTCTAGGAAGACCAACACTTTGCTTTTGCCTTCCTGACTTTATTCGGTCACCTTTAAATTTTAAGGCCTTCTCATTTCAACTTGGGAGAGGTAATACAGAAGAGAAACAGTCATGTGGAAGACGGATGCACATTTTTACATTCCATAAGCAACGCAGCTTGTGGTCGTGTGGTTTTAAAAGTCAGTTGGGTCACCCACACTAACTTGGGGTGGCTCCCTCATGTCCACTGATGATCGATGTTCCAAGCAATTTGAGAGGAGGGGTTTAAGAGAAGTCAACTAGAATTAGATGCATTCATAATAACTTCCTGGCTCCCCCCTCAAAAACAAAAACATAACAGAGGTACCTGGGTGGCTCAGTCGGTTAGCATCCGACTTTGGCTCAGGTCATGATCTCAAGGTTCATGGGTTTGAGCCCCACGTTGGGCTCTGTGCTGACAACTTGGAGCCTGGAGCCTGCTTTGGATTCTGTGCCTCCCTCTCTCTCTGCCCCTCCCCCGCTTGTGCTCTGTCTCTCTCTCCCAAAAATAAATAAACATTAAAAAAAAACAATAAACAACCCAGGAAAATGCAAATAAATATTCTCGGTGATGATCTAAATTATCAGGGTCATGTTATATTTCCTTCTATGTCATTGGTTGGTTGAAGAATTGCACCATTTTTATTTGAACCATTTTCATCAAAAGCACTTGAAACCTTAAAGGAGTTACTTGTTTTTCTTTAAAGAGTTTTGCAAAAGGAATGAAAAGGTCAAAATATTTTAAAGACAAATAAATACATAGAATTTTAATAAAATAGAATCAAAAAAACTGAAGAGGACCTTGAAGTGTATCTACCCCAAAGCCCTCATTTATCAAAAAGGAAATTGAGGCTCAAAGAGGTTGTATAACCTGCCTAGGGTCACACAGCAAGTGATGGAGGCAAGGAAGAAACCCAACTTCCCAGACCCTGATTCAAACCTATTCCCACCATTCTTCCTTAGCTATTAAAAACTGTGCCAGAGCAGAGGGTAGCCTTGATCTTCTGTGCGGAATAGACTGGCTGTGCGGGATTCATGGATATCTGCGCACAGAACAACTCTCAGGAAAGCCCTGATTGTCTCTCCTATTTGGTATTTTACCTACCAACTGCTTCTCCACTTTCGGCTTCCAGTGTTGAAGTTCAGATTTCCTCTCAAGGTATTCTGTAGCTCTTAGGAAATACAAATGTTCAGCTCGAGTAGAAATTTTAACTAGCAACAGGCACTGATGTGACCAGTAGATTTGTGGCTTAGTAAGGAGATTCAAAATGCACCTATTATTAGGATGCTCAGTCCAAGAGCCATAAGCAACCATCAATCAAATCAAAGGTGACAGGGCTATAGATTATTTCATAATGTCTAAGGAGAGGTCACATTACGGGCTCACATTTATATTAACACCTCATTTTTACAAAAATGAAACAGTGGATAATTAGAGGGGTTGTTGGCAATATCAATACCTATAGCATTCCAGAAAATATTTAGACTTTCCCACTTTTCAACTGATATAATCCCAGTTCTCAAGTTAGCAAGTAGTCAGGACCAGCTTCCTTAGTAATCAAACACAGGAAACCAAATCTAATTGGAGGAAGAGCATTAATTACTTAAATCAGCGTGTCGGAAGTGATCAAGCTCCATGGCAGTGCTGGGCATGGGTCGCGTCTCTACACAGCAGCTTTTCAAAACAACCCAGCAATGTAATGAGCACTATGAAAATAACTAGATAGTTGGCCTTAGAATTATACTTCTAGCGATGTAGTCCCAAAAAAAGCAATCAACAGATGCATGGAAAATGATGTTTTCTTGAAGATGTTTGCCACAGTATCATAGCAAAGAATCAAATGAGAAGCTCCAAGATTAAAAAGACAAGAAAGTTATAAGGAACACATGCATTTACTCAAAGGAACAATAATTAAAATATTTAAGAATTGTGCTGAAGACGTATAGTGGTCTGGGAAACACAGTGTGAAAGCTATGCATCTACTGGACACAGTTGTACAAAACAACGTTGAGGGGGAGGTAGATAGCCAAGTAGGAATGACAGTAAAATGCTAACCAAACTTGAATTTTATAGTATGAAGTATGAGTGGTATTTTTCTTTATCCAATTATTCAAGTTTTATCACAAATTATATTCTGTAACACACACACACACACAAACACATAGCTACGTCAGTCATGGCCAATAGTTGTAACAGGATAAAAAAAAAAAAAAAACATCTAGCAAAATTTTTCTAATCCTGATTATTTTAACTTGTGAAAATCTTCAATCGATCACATATTGACATCATTTCTTTAAGAGGCTTCAACACATTAATCTTTAGAGCCAAACACAAACGTCAGTAGTTGTACATGTCTGAGAGCATTATAAACTCTGGGAGAATGGCCCCCAAATGACTTTGATGATGCATTGAGCAAAACCAGATCAACTTAACGTCTTCTCTTGTGTGTCATCTTTGGGCAATCTTCCAGTCTTTAGAATCACATCTTCCTGATTGCAATCATGTTTCCTCACTTGATTGCTTGCATGACCTTAAAACTCTACAGGGCACGAACTTTTGGGCTCCCAGCTGAATTACTCTGCCAGCATCTCCTGAGGCATGAGAGCTACATCATGCTGGAATTCAAGAAAATGGCAGGAAGAGATAAGAAACAGAATGCTATCATTTTATACCCCATCAGCTCTTGTCCTGTAGTAGTGAAAAATACAGGGTTTAAAAAAAATCTTTTTTTACTTCCCAACATTCATGCACTAGACAGAACTGAGAGAATATTATAAGCCACACAGAATTTTACTCATAAAATTGCCCTTTTTTTTTTATTTCTCATGAAACAGACATTTTGAACATGTGGCAGAATACATTAGAGGAAAGTCTGGGATTCGAATGGATGCAATTTTGAGACCAGTGATTTTTTTTAAAAAATACATTTTACTTGGGCAATCAAGTGAGGATTCCTTTAGGAATAGCTAGCTTAATTAATATTTTAGTTGTGAAAGCTTAGTACATCCAATATATTGAGGGTGGAAACAGAAATACATCTCTGAATTTTTACCCTGAAATTGATTTTAGTGGATTTTTTCTTTCTGCATGTTGAAGTGGTACCTGGATTTGCCAGTGAGGCAAAATGGTCTTTAACATCTTCTTGGCTCAAAGCATATTTTTAAGGAATGGGAGGTAGGTGATTACCCTGGGTGGGTTTATTTATAACAGCATCTGGGGATGCCAATGGCAAGACTACCCTAAATTGTGGAGTGATAAACAGATTGCACGTTTTTTACCACTGGAGCTAAAAGCTTTTTTACCATTTTCTTAAACCGTGTGTGTGTGTGTGTGTGTGTGTCTGTGTGTCTGTGTGCGTGTGTGTGTGTGTGTGTGTGTAATAACATCCCATAAAACAAATGTCCAGCGGGAAGGGGAGGAGGAGAGAAGGAGATGGAAATGAGCAAAAAAATCTGAAAGCGCTGAATGCCACTGTATCCAGAAATTCACATGCCCGAGAGACAATCAGAGCCTTCTTTGCTAAGTAAAAGCTGCTTTTCTGTCTTTCGGGTTTTCATTTGCATGTGTACAACGTTGCACCTGCAGGTCTGTTCCAGAAGGCGATCATCCAGAGCGGGACCGCACTGTCCAGCTGGGCAGTGAACTACCAGCCAGCCAAGTACACGCGGATATTGGCAGATAAAGTCGGCTGCAACATGCTGGACACCACGGACATGGTGGAATGCCTTCGGAATAAGAACTACAAGGAGCTCATTCAGCAGACCATCACCCCGGCCACGTACCACATTTCCTTTGGCCCCGTCATCGACGGGGACGTCATCCCAGACGACCCTCAGATCCTGATGGAGCAGGGGGAGTTCCTCAATTACGACATCATGCTTGGTGTCAACCAGGGGGAAGGCTTGAAGTTTGTCGACGGCATCGTGGACAACGAAGATGGTGTGACGCCCAACGACTTTGACTTCTCCGTGTCCAACTTTGTGGACAACCTTTACGGCTACCCAGAGGGGAAAGACACGTTGCGGGAGACCATCAAGTTCATGTACACGGACTGGGCAGACAAGGAAAACCCCGAGACGCGGCGAAAGACCCTGGTGGCTCTCTTCACGGATCACCAGTGGGTGGCCCCCGCGGTGGCCACGGCCGACCTGCATGCTCAGTACGGCTCCCCGACTTACTTCTATGCCTTCTACCACCACTGCCAGAGTGAAATGAAGCCCAGCTGGGCGGACTCAGCCCATGGTGACGAAGTCCCCTACGTCTTTGGGATCCCCATGATTGGCCCTACTGAGCTCTTCAGTTGTAACTTCTCCAAGAACGACGTCATGCTCAGCGCAGTGGTCATGACCTACTGGACCAATTTTGCCAAAACCGGGTACGTGCTTCCCCACGGCAGGTTTTTCTTGCTCTTCTCCTAGATTGTCTGGTTCTGCCATGACGAACGGAGTGCAAGATGCATTCACACACGGTAACGGTGGGGGGCCTCGCTTTTTCCTCCTCCTTAAATTGTTTTCTGCCAACCAGATTTTTACTAAGAGTGCTCACTGCATACTTAAAAGTCTGTTTCTACCTGCCACTCCAGGGTTCAGGGGTAAACGGCAATACCTTTGGAAGCCAATCCCAGAATTTGTGTCCTTTGGTAAATAGTAGGGTTATCAAATAGGACCCTGTGTCCTTTGGTAAATAGTAGGGTTGTCAAAACACGTGTACCACGTGGCAATTTGGGCTTATTGCATAGCCACGAGAACAAATTCAGTCTCATAATACATCTAAGAAATACGATCCATGTGTGTTTATACTATATATGAACACACATGTACGTATGTTTCTCTACAGTTATGAGATTTATTTCCTGTATATACACATATTGGCAAATACTTATTCATCTATATATCATTTATACATATTTATTTCATAAACAAATATATATTTCATATATATGTGTACATACATACCTCACAGGAAAGGACCTCAGCTAAATGTAGTACAAAACCCACAAGAGGCACACATAACAACAGGTCCACCGATATCCTGTTGAGCAGCTTCCAAGCAAACAAGGATAGAAGAGTCTCCCCAAGTTTTTATTTTTCCAGGTTTATTTATTTTGAGAGAAAGCGGGCGTGTGATGCGTGAGGAGTACACAGAGAGGGAAAGAGAGAATCCCAAGCACGCTCCACACTGTCATCCCAGGGCTCGATCCCACGAACTGTGAGATCATGACCTGAGCCAAAATCAAGAGTTTGACACTCAACCGCCTGAGCCACCCAGGCATCAGAAGACTCCCCGACATTTAAATATTTTTTAATGTTTTTATTTATTTTTGAGAGAGACAGAGATAGAGTGAGTGAGGGAGAGCAGAGACAGGGAGGGAGACACAGAACCCAAAGCAGGCTGCAGGCTCTGAGCCGTCAGCACAGAGCCAGACGCGGGGCTCCATCTCACGAGCCGTGAGATCATGGCCTGAGCCGAAGTCGGATGCTTAACCGACTGAGCCGCCCAGGCGCCCCGACTCCCCAGCATTTTAAATGGCTACAAAGTCACAGCAACTTTTTATCTTTCTCCTGTCTAACAACGTGATTGTGGAAATTAATGAGGTATCATTCTGTTCTACCTGGGTGGGCTTCTCTCATTAACCTTGAGCCTCTTGCCCTGAATTAAAATCGGAGACGCTGTCCCTCTCCGCGGGAATGTGCGTCTTCCCGTGGCACTCCAGATGTGGGACAGAGGCGCCCACACGACAGCAGCCCGCAGTGCTTGAGTCTGAGGCAGCTCTAGAGACGGGGTTCGTGGTGCTGAGGGCTCAATGCTCAGGGCTCATTCTTTCACAACGATTCCAAATGTTACTGTGTGCACGCTGTCTTCAGAGTTTTGGAGGTCTTAGCAAAAGTATGGCGTGTTTATAGAGTGGCAAGTGTATTGTATGGATATCCACGTCCAACTGTCACATTTTACATTTGGTCTAACCACGGTTGGGCATAGGAGGCAGTAGGGGAGGGAGGATGTACAGATATTTGGGACAGATGCTTGCCTGTCACCTAAGGGTTCTTTCATCAACAGAGATGATTGACATCAAGCCAACGAATTTTTTTTTAATGTTTATGTAGTTTTTGAGAGAGAGAGAGAGAGAGAGAGAGAGAGACAGAGCACGAGTGGGGGAGGGGCAGAGAGAGAGAGGGAGACACAGAATCCGAGGCAGGCTCCAGGCTCCAAGCCGTCAGCACAGAGCCCGATGCGGAGCTCGAACCCATGAACCGTGAGATCATGACCTGAGCCGAAGTCAGATGCTCAACCGACTGAGCCCCCCAGGCGTCCCCTAGTCAACAACTATCTTTATGTCACCCTTGTTTATGATGTTATTATAACATCCCTAGGGTGCTGTAACCATGTACCACAGACGGTGTGGCTTCAAACCACAGACATTTATCGTTGCCCAGTTCTGGATGCTAGAAATGCAAAATGCAGGTGTTGGCAGGGCCGAGTTCCGTCTCCAATCTCTAGGGGACAGTTTTGTGCTCCTTCCTAGTTCCTGCTGCTTTGCAGGCTATCTGTGGCATTGCCCGTTTATAGCCACGTGACTGTGGTTTCTGTGTCTGTGTGATGTGGCGGCCTCCCTATGTGTCTGTTTGCAGATGGCCGTCTTCTTCTAAGGGCATCCGTCATATTGGTTTAGAAGTCCAACCTGCCCCGTCTTATCTTCACTGATTCCATCTGGAATGACCCTGTTTCCAAATACGGTCACATTCTGAGGCCCTGGGGGTTAGCACTTTGGCATATGGTATTAATTTGATGGGGGAACAATTCAACTCATCACCCCTTTTAAAGGCAGGATGATGCCCAGTTGTGTCATTGAACTCAGGTGTGTGATGCCTTTCCTAACCAAGTGTCATGCTCTTGAAGCAGAAAGATTTCCCAAATGATGGCCATCTGCTTTCCCTACATTTTCATCCAAACATAGCACTCTTTAAGTAATATCTAAACATCCTTACTCGCTTTAGTTAAAACCACATACTTCTTTCCCTTATGTGTTTTGGAAATGGACTTTATATGATTTTTCTTACATGGTGATCATTCATCACCAGTGTAACTGAACCATGAAAAAAATGGCAAACTCCAAACAAAGCCATTAAATTCTCGTTAGCTCCTCTTGCCTTGCCAAGAGCTCTGGGGCTGATGCCCTCTTGGCGTTTAAAAAAGAAAGAAGAACGGTAAAGGAAATTAATTAGTGTCACGCGATGGGAAAGATCTCCTAGCACGAAATGGATATTTTCACCAGGACCTATCAAAGGCTGAGCCAGGATTAAAAATACCACAGCATTCTGCTATTGAGTGCTTCTTTTCATGTCATAGCTTGGTTCCTAAGATCTCTGTGCCTGGCGCCTGTGGTTCACACCTTCGTGTGGGGAACGTAGTGATGGAACTGTTAAATAGCCTGGGCTTAATCACGGCCAAAGGCATTTGTGTGACCATTCATGGTATGTGTTCATGAAGGTGTCAAAGCAGCCAGAACAGATGGGAAAAGGGTTCGGAAGGGGGAGGACGTCCGCTTTGGGGGAACAGGTGTCATCTAAGTGGAGTCTAGAACTTCAGAGAGAGTCAAGCTCTCCCTGAGCAAACGGGAAAGACACAATGGAGAGCTGTGGATGTCAGGCTGAAGAACCTGGACTGGATCCAAATAGGAGCTATTTTTACTTCTGCAGTGCCTGTGGGCCATGGCTGAAATAATACTTAGGGATATTAATGCAGTCAGTTTTCTTCATTCGTTTGGAAAGGTCATTGAAATGACTCAAATCATCCTTAAAGAGAGTCACTCAGAACTTCCTCTAATGTGAAATGCAAAGTGGAGTCTTCCAGCGTCAGTATGTGTGGGATAATATTTCCATGGTGGCCAGTTGAACAAGGAGACAGAGGATGGAACGGGTGGGCAGTCTAGTGATTTAGGTATTTGTCAATACTTGGCAAAGTCATGAGAGGTGGTTGCTATTCATTTATTTAATTAGGGTAGTGGTGCAGTAGGCTCTCTGCAGGGGCGTTATTTCCTTGTCCCCGGTGGGGGCTGCTTCGGTGGTCCCAGGGAAGGTGAGCCAAAATGGTGCCAGTAATGGAACAATGTAGGATAAACCATGTCTGACGCCACAGTGTGAGCATGCTGGTTAACTCTGTTCTTCAGAACACATTCTCAGACCATGACACAGAGACCATCAACTGCTCCCCACCAGCACTAGAGGGACAGGACCTAGATTATAAGAACATCTCCCCAGCCATTTGTCACAGCCCTTGTCTACGGAGAGAGGAGTCCATGGCATCAGGACATGCTTTGCCATTATCACTGGCTGCTGTTTCCAGTCTTCTGTACCTTACAGACAACACGCTGCTGTTCCTTACTGTTTGGATGTTAGGCAAGGCGTATACCCTGGTGCTGCTTTTCGTACAACCCACAGCTCACAGGTGTGACCTTATGTCTGTCTTTCAATGTAAATACATGATATGCCAACTTTTTGTTGTTGTGGAGCACAGAGAAGTAAATGTTGGGAATATGGGTATAGAAGACACGGAAGGGGGAAGGCGGGTAGGGAGGGAAGGAAGGAGGGTTCCATGATCCAGCTTAGAAGACTCAGCCAAAGGTGCTGCCAGGGTGCCAGTCGGCTCAGGTCATGATCTCACAGTTCCTGGGTTTGAGCCCCACATCGGGCTCTGTGCTGACAGCTCAGAGCCTGGAGCCTGCTTCCGATTCTGTATGTCCCTCTCTCTCTGCCCCTCCCTTGCCTCTCTCTCTCTCTCTCTCTCTCTCTCTCTCTCTGCCCCTCCCCTGCTCACACTCTCTTTCTCTCAAAAATAAATGTTAAAAATAAAAAAAGAAGACTCAACCGAAACAGTGCTGGAAAAGAACAACATAGGCCAAAACAATAAGTAAAGCTGATGTGGAAAGTTTTGCTCAATGAAAAGCAATGTCAAGGAAAAATGAAAACTAATCCCAAGGTTTACAAAGGCTTAGAAAGAATTACAACCTGTGTCATAGAAAATCTCTTTGGGAATGCGAGCCCTGACTGGTCCATAGAATCCAGGTGCTTGTGGATCAAACACCGATTCAGCCTGAACTCTTTTGTGGGGACACCAAAGAAAAGTTGGTCTCTGTAGGACATATTGCAACAATCAGCACTTTAAGGAACCAGATGATGCATTGTCCATCGAGGGCCTTACTTAAATGCCATTGGAGTTCAGATAATGCAAAGATAATTCTGGCACGGCAAATGCAACCAACACAGATTTCAATTTTTTGACTTGGTCTCAGGACCAAGGCTCTCGGTGTAGGTCTAATGAGATGCTATCTTGACTGTTGACGTTGTTGGTATCCTGTGATGAATTTATTTTCAACCTTTGCGAAAACTCAAGAGGCCCTTAGGGTGCATGGCTTAGAGAGAACTGCAGCCCGTGTCTGGTCTTAAAATGACCTTTACGGCCAAAAAGCATTGTAAGCAGAGTGAATGAACATCTTGACCTGTTGTGTAGGTGCACGTGGTAGCCTTCTTCTTAGACATCTGGTAACGAATACCAGGTACTACGTTATGCTAGATGTGAGGAGAATCTTGTGTCATCGAAAGGAGCCCATCAGAGAGTTTACTGGTGTTTCTACAGGAATCATATTACCTATCTCTAGCAAATAACATGGCTCACAAGGGCTTAGAAATGCACTTGACTATCCTCCGCCAAGATGATGTCTCAAATAAATTGTGACGGGTGAAAATGTGTGTCTCAGGTGCTGGGAAATGTGGATGCACGTAGCATTGAGGTTTTCACTAGGGAGAGAAGATACGTCCATTGCTTTTATCCTTAATCATCACGATCTTTAATTTTACTCATGGAAATTAAAACATGCCATATGCGGAAGTCAAGTCTAAAAAGACACTGATATCCCACTTAGAGGTCTTGCTGTCTTTGGAGTGTTTGACAAGGGAAAATGATGGACTTTCATAAGCTCTGCGAGTTTATCTTGGTTTAAGGCTTCTGACCGTGCACCTCCAAGAACTTTAATAGATAGATTGTATCAGGCTAAAGCTTACTTATCTGGATTTTCAAAATCCTCTGCTCTATTCTTTGAGAACAAAATAAATGTGTTTCTTTACCTTTCAAATGCACACCGAATTTCATCAAAAAGAGTCCAATATCCAACATGAACAGAATACTCTTTTTCCTAGATGCCCTCTGCTTAATAAAAGGTCCACACAGCTAATAGACCCAATTCAGTGAAATCAGATCAATGGAAAAATAGTAGGAATCCTTACCACCTTTCCTTGCTTTTAGAAAATAAAAATCGGTGACAAAAGTTTCCATGGCACATTCCAATTAAATGGGAATTTTTTCAAAAATTTATTTCAGAAGACTCAAATAAAAGAAACATGAGGTGCTATATTGAATCCAACATGTTTCTGAAACATGCAAGTATTTTTAAAAATCAGATAAAAAGATTTTAAATATATTAATGTTTATAAATGAACAGATAAAAAAGAAAACTCATGCATTAGGATCTACAAATTTATATTCTTTTTTCTTGATCCCATGAGTAAAATAAAAGTGAGTGTGCACTCAGTTAAGTAGTAAAATTTCTTTTTCTGTATGCCGTGTATATAGTTACATTTACATATAATTATATGTATCTATATATAGCTGTATATCTAGTGATATAGATATCCATATATATAGTGTACATTATGCAGTATATACTATGATATATAGTATACTTTCACAGAGTATATATTCTACATTATACTTTTATGAAGCATATACTGGATATAACATATAGTATATAGCATAAATCCTGTGGTATAGAATATATGCTATATGAAGTATATACTATACTGTATATACTGTAGTATTCAATACATACAATATGTAATATAATACACTGTGATGTGTACTATGTACCATGTAATATACATGCTATGATGTATATTATTTACAATGTATAGCATACCATATATACGGTGGTAAACAGTATACTTTTATATGGCATATACTATATGCAGGATATGGTACCCTGTACATGCTGTGGGTATTACAGTATATTACTTTACAGTCCTCTCTCCCTCCCTAAGCAATTTTTAGGCATTCTACTTTGTATATTGGCCGAAGGGGATAATATTTACTAGGCTGTAACTATTTTCCAAAAATTTTGTTATGATTATTGAGCCTCCATCAATTACTTCTAATCCCAGTATCGTCACCCATTCTGTAGATGAGGATGATTAGGCCCAGAGAGGCTTCAGAAATTTGCGCAAGATTTCACAGCTGTAATGAGGGAGAGCCTCAGAGCTTAATGCCTGGAGATGATTTTGACAGCCTCAGACTGAGGGCAAATGTCCTTCTTTTAGCAAAGGCTACATGCACCAGTTGGCCAGGGTATCGTTTGCATCCTGCACAATGCACGGTCGTGTGTGGACTTGGGACTTTCAGGTAGGACTTCTGGCCAGTGTTCTGGCATGTGAGCATATAGGCAGTGGCTAGAGGCAGCTTTGTCCATGCTGCCAGAACGTTGTTCCATGGAAAACAGAAGTGAGAAGAGCCAGATCTGTGTGTGCACATCCCAACTTGCTCTGGCTTGTCCCTGACGTCTGAACGTTCAGTGTTGTCTACTAGGTGATCTTTTACTGTGCATGACCTCAAAATTTTCAAAACAAATAATCATTAAGATGAAATATGTTTTACACTTCACTTTGCCAGCCATAAAAATAGATGGAAGAAATGAGAATATGATATTTTGGGGAGGTTCTTTGTTATAGTAAAAGAATTGGTGGCAAAGATGTTTAAAGTACCATGTTTTCTGGATTTCCCTTTAATTTTGGTGATTCCCTTTCTGCCTGTGCCCATTTATGTAAATAACAAGACAATTCTTGGGTTCAGAGTTGGCCTGGCACGCTTAACGTCTACAGAAACTCTCAATTTCTTGCACCGTGTTTTACTTCTCCTAAACATGTTAGCTTCACCATATGTAAAGCTGTGATCTTATCACCGTTCTTAGAATTAATGGAGTGTTATTTGATATTTACGTGGCTCAGTCTTGGAAAGGTTTTCAAATATTCAACTATTCCTCTTTCAAAAAGACAGCAAACTCGTGGTGCCTTCATTTCACCGTGTCTTCACATTTTGCAATGGCAAGTCCTATTTTTATTTGATTTTTAACACAATTTTAGTTCTTAAAACTTCGGTATGTGTTTGTCCACCTCAGAAGCCACCCTGGTGCAAGAAAGAAAATGCCTACTTTTTGAACAATTGCCTCTAAATCAGGATTTCTCAACCTCAATACTATTGATGTTTGTGCCCTCTACTCATTCATGGCAGTACAGTCCACACATGACAACCAAATATGTCCCCAGACATTGCCAAATGTCCCTGTGTGGACAACACGCCTTGGTTGAGATTTATGGCTCAAGAGTAGCTAAACTTGAAATACTGAAAAAATTTCTTACACCCATTTTTTTCTTACTTTTTTTTATTTTTGAAGATCATTTGATGCATTTTAAAAAATAGTAGAAATGTTATGAAAATGCCAGACCTCTGCCACCAGGAATTATTTTTAAAATAAAAGGAAGAGAAGACTTTAAGGAAAATACAAAATGGTAGCCATGGTTGAATTAAACCACAGTGTGTCCGTTGCTATTTGAGTACTTGGCGTTCATAAACAGGTCTTGGTGAGCTCAATTAAATGGTCCTAATTCCCTGTTTTGTTTGATGGCGAGATTTACTTGTCACATGTTGAAGGGTGTGACCTTTTTTTCCCTCTTTTCTCTTCCTTCTGTCCCCAGTGACCCAAATCAGCCTGTTCCTCAGGACACCAAGTTCATTCATACAAAACCCAATCGCTTTGAGGAAGTGGCCTGGTCCAAGTATAACCCCAAAGACCAGCTCTATCTACATATTGGCCTGAAGCCCAGAGTGAGGGATCACTACCGAGCTACCAAGGTGGCTTTCTGGCTGGAACTGGTTCCCCACCTGCACAACCTGAATGAGATATTCCAGTACGTGTCAACAACCACGAAGGTCCCTCCTCCCGACATGACCTCCTTCCCCTATGGAACCCGGCGGTCTCCCGCCAAGATATGGCCCACGACCAAACGCCCAGCCATCACTCCCGCTAACAACCCCAAACACTCCAAGGACCCTCATAAGACAGGGCCTGAGGACACAACCGTCCTCATCGAAACCAAACGGGATTATTCCACTGAACTGAGCGTCACCATCGCCGTGGGGGCCTCCCTGCTCTTCCTCAACATTCTGGCATTTGCGGCTCTGTACTACAAGAAGGACAAGAGACGCCACGAGACACACAGGCGCCCCAGTCCCCAGAGGAATACCACAAACGACATCGCTCACATCCAGAACGAAGAGATCATGTCCCTGCAGATGAAGCAGCTGGAACATGACCACGAGTGTGAGTCCCTGCAGGCTCACGACACGCTGAGGCTCACCTGTCCTCCAGACTACACCCTGACGCTGCGCAGGTCTCCAGATGACATCCCACTCATGACACCAAATACCATCACCATGATCCCAAACACACTGACGGGCATGCAGCCTTTGCACACATTCAACACCTTCAGCGGAGGACAAAACAGTACCAATCTCCCCCATGGACACTCGACCACTAGAGTATAGCTTTGCTGTTCCTTTCCGCTACATCTGCTCCTTCCCACTGGAGAGAGGGAGAAAGAGAGAAGCAACGTGTGCCCACGAGGAGTGTGGGTCATCCCACTGACATAAGACAAAAAGAACAGGGCCACCATCGTGTCCCTGTAGACCCATCCCATTGGCATTTCCCAGTACGACAAGATCTACTTCTGACCCTATGAAATGTGAAAAAGTATACATTGCTGTTACAATACTGCTTTAACATCTCCACCTCTCCAGAGAACGTTTAGTTCGGCTAGGACATCACCGTCTCCAGGACCTGGATGCTTCCCGTGTTAACAATAGAAGCTGACACTTTGGGGACTCAGCCAGGGACACTTAAGAAAAAAAAATTTTTTAATTAACAGTTGAAAAATACAATATGTGCCATACGACGGATGGCTCTACTTAAGGGAAGGATGAGTCTGTGGGATTTTACCCAGTGCATGGAGCTATCATCCAGACAGAAGGAGAAGTAGAATTTTATTATTACAAGAGCCGACTATGCAGTAACATATGTATAGTTCTGTGCAAAGAGGTGTTTCGCCAGCCTGAACTATATTTAAGAAACTTTGTAAAAAAAAAAAAAAAGAAAAAACAAATGTATATAGCTGTGAGTTTCAACAAAAAGACACACAGAGAAAGGAAAAAAAAACAACCAACAAAAAAAGCTTTTATTGGTGTTTTCAGTTTGAAAGACCTTTTAGCAAGATTGTGCTTTCCATTGTGGTCTGTATGTATATAAATATATATATATATACATTAGTCATTCACCTCTGTTTCCTCCAGGACACAGGAGGATGTTCTTAATTCCTCGTGGTAAGCAAACACATGGGGTTTTCTAACACATTTCATTTGTAGGACGATGTGGTGTCACACAGCGGACCCAGACTGTCTGTGTGGTGGGGCTCTTCACCCCCCTTTCTGGGATGCATGCGACAGCATTGTTAGGAGACCGACCGTTGTGTTAGCAAACTTTTATTTTTGTGTGTGTTAGCCTCCATGGAGTTGCACCACCTAGATGGATCCCCCATCCCCAGCGTGGAGTTTATGTAAAGCTTGCTGAATTAGAAACACACACACACAGAGACACTGCAGGAACAAAAAACAAAATACAAGTCTTGGTCTGTGGTTGTGGTTCTTTGAATATGTTTAGGGAGACCTGCTGCCCACCCCCAGGGGTCCTGCCAAAAAGGAAAGAAAGCTTGCCTTTAGTGGGGGTGGGGCCATGCCCCGCCGGGTAAATACGGCTCAGTGTTCCCCAGCAGCTGCAGAAAGGGCTGTGGGTGCCGGGCTACCTGCTCAGCTTAGCTAATCAGATTGAAGGAGGGCATGTGTGTTTCCTGTTTTTTCTTTAAGCAGTAAGTCCCTTATTTATCAGGAAGCAAGATTTTTTTTTTTATTCTTTACATCGTTTATGGGATTACACATATGCTTGTCTAAAGTACTGTGAGACTTGTGTATCAGTCACTGGTCAATGAATCGTATGGGGAGAGAACAAACCCACGTGAAAGGACAGAACGTGAAAAGCCCTCTGCATGGGTTTTTCTGCAAAGTTAGGGTCGCCTTCGCTGTCAAGATAAGTTACGGAAATTATTCGCCCCACTTAAAATTGGCAAGCTGGGGACTGGACATTTGCCCCCAACACCTCCTCACATTCCCATTGTCCTTTTAATTTTATCTGAAGGAATATTTTGAGTTTCCTACGGTGGAAGGGAAAAGAACAATGGTTACTTTATAGTTTGTCTTTCAAGAGTTATTGCAACATCAGGAAGTAGCAGCCAAAGATGTTTGAAAATCCTGTCTCTGGGCTTGACTATGGTTATTTCAGAAAGCGAGGCTTACAAGTCATTGCTACGTTGGGGATGCTCCACAAGATAAGTCCAGCGTCCTTGCCCCTTGGCACAACGCTCGAGTACTGAACCCCTACACTAAAACCGTAACGATCGATACCAACGTCTTCGAAAACGCCCTTTAGCAAAAGACAGTTCTTACAGGTGCATAGAAGTCCCACGATAAATTCTGTCGTCCATCTGGGTTAAGATTTGACAGTGGGTCTCTGTATATACATATGTGAACTATTATAATCCCCACTTTGCACATGGCCAACCAACAATCCTTTCCTGCAGCTAGACGTGTCACGGGTACAAGTTTTGTCCCCAGTTCATCCTTTTCTAAAGGTATTGTCAGGTCATTTCTGCAAGCTATGTATTACCCCCAGCGGGGTACGGCAAATAGACTCTCCATACAACTACCCGAGAGGTGATGCTTGGCATCAGTGTGGGTCTGGTATGTTTGTAATGTGAATTCCAATATTTGTTTAGTATTTCCAATTGTCTTCTGCTAGCAATATGCACAGTAATGTATCAGGCTTGTGACATTTGGATAAGGAAAAAAAAAAAGAGTTCTTGTTAAGTGAATAGCTTTTCCAGAGGATATGATCAAAAGAAATTTAATACACGTTAAATGATATCTTATTTCTACATGGAAAGAAGTTATAGAATCTTCATAGAGTTCTATGAGAATAAAATATACTTGCTATCTATAAAAAAGAGAAAAATGAGAAAAAAAATGAGAAAAAGAAAATAAGTTAAAAAAAAAAAAAACTTTCCTAGGCTTTTATCCTTGACCTTGACAGGCACGCAGGGTTTAATGGTTTCTTGGGTTATGATTTTGAATTTTTGTTTTTGATTTTGCCTTAAGTAATGATAGAAGATATATATGGCTGGACACATATGTATAAACTTTTCAGCAGCATTTTTAATAATAAAATATCACAGTATTTTCTAATGCTTTGTGCAAATAATTACGCGTCCATCCTTTTTTTTGTAGGTGGCCTATGTTATTTACTTTTCCTACCCCTTTGACTGCTGTTTTCATTTTAAAAGCTACGCGGTACATCAGACGTAAATGGACACACTCAACCTGTAACGGGTCAGCTTTGCACAGTTTCTCCCAGTGCATGATTCTTGGGCGACCCACGGGGGGAGTTCTGCCTGACGTTGGAGAAGGAAGCCCCAGACGGGGATGATGATGTTTCCTGAAGGTTCCTGAATTGGAGCACTTGGATTTATTACTGTTATCACTGCCCGTTCTTATGGTGCTGGGTTTGGCATTGAGTTTGACATAATAATGCCCTCCCGCATCCAAACAGCCTTGTTTGAGTCAATCTTCGGGTGACAGCAAGAAATTGTGAGTAAAACGCAAGAGGCAGAACGTGCCTCCCGGGCCCGTGGAGAGCAAATTGGCCAAGTCCTCACAAGTGCATCTGGCTGTTTCTTATCCTTTTAATTAACATTCAGGAGAGCCCCCAGGCACAGGCACCTGTAATACCTCCTTTAAAGTGGAAGAGGTTGAGAGTTGGGAACTTGTGGCCGCCAGGCAGCACAGGTTGGGTTCAAACGAAGGTAGTGTGCTCCAGAGCCCCAACTCCACCAGTAAGGAAGACAGCAGGAATTTCTAATGCAGGTGCACACGTGTCCTCGTGCATTAGCCGATGGTCAGATAAAGAAACCCAGCAAATCCTGTGACTGTTTGCTGCAGTGGAGCACCGAAGGTTTTTACATATTGATTGGGGTCATTTGCTAGTATGAGGCAAACGGGAGATAAATATATATGTAATATGTTACATAATAATAATTTAGTAGTATACTTCCTATTATATTTTATTATAACTACATATTATATGCTTATATGATATAAACTATACATAATATATAACATAGCATATGTAATATATGCATACTGTATAGTATAAAAATATATTTTATAATATATTGCATATTAAGTTGATATATTATAGAAATATTGTATATACAGAATTTACATCATATATTTTATTTGTAATATAATTATAGTATTTATCTTATATAAAGGAAAATATAAATGTTATTAATGTTCACAGTATGACACATTCATTTATATATTATATACAACATATGTTATATTTATATTTAATATATAAATAAAACATAAAATGTATAGCATGTATTTATATAAATACATAAAACATAAAATATATACCATGTATTATATAATCTGCAATACATTTTTATGTATTTATATACATATTTTATATATTGCATATAGGTGTATATTACATGTATATATATGTGAATGTATAATATTCTCATACATATATGTATATGTAATATATATTTCATGGAAATGCCATGTTCATGGATTCAAAATTGAAAAAAAATGTTTAAAACCGAATCTTTAGTAAATTTTAGCTAGAGGGAGAGTCACTATTTTTTTCCACCATGTATATCTACATTCTTGCGCATTCTAACTGGAAAAATGGTAAGAGTGTATGCATTCATTCATGCACTCATTCACTCATGTGTTCACGCAGCAAACGTTTACCAACCATCTCCCTCCTCACCGGCCGTGTGCCAGGGATGATGTGTGAAGTGAAAGGACAGAACAGCAGCAGGCTTTGGAGATGGTACCCAGTGCCAGTGGGAGTGTAGACACAGCACCTTAACCTCACCTGCTAGGAGTGGTGAGCATTCAGCTGGGGATGTGTAGGCTGGAGTCCCCACATTTCCAACAACTTCTCAAGTGCTGGAGAGGCTGCTGGTTCCCAACTGTCCCCAACTATTGAGAATGTTCAGAAGTAGCCATGACGGTCACGATCAGGGGGCCCTGGGCGCCGTGAAAGCTGTTCCGTGGAAAGCTAAAGCAACGTGAGAAATGAATTACCATCCTTCTCCGAGGTAGTGGGGACAGGGACAGGGGTAGAGCTGTTTTACAGCCCTGTGTTCCAGAACTGATACAGCCCAGGGGTCAGAGATGACCAGGGGCACTTCTGGCATCCAGCTCGAGTTTGGTCACTTGCAGCAAAGGCAGGCACACGCAAGAACAGGGAGCCATCTGGGCGAGCCGTTCACACGGCAGAGAGGAGCGTTTGGGCTTACACAGGGCGGCGTTAAGAGGGCTTTGGGAACAAGAATTTGTTCTGGATTAGTTACCCTCAGGATAATTTG